CGGGATCTCGAGATAATAAGTCGGGATAATAAGTCGGGATCTCGAGATAATAAGTCGGGATCTCGAGATAATAAGTCGGGATCTCGAGATCTTGACTTAGTTTCTCGGGATCTCGAGATAACAAGTCGGTATCTCGAGATAATAAGTCGGGATCTCGAGATAATAAGTCGGGATCTCGCGATAATAAGTCGGGATCTCGCGATAATAAGTCGGGATCTCGAGATCTCGACTTAGTTTCTCGGGATCTCGCGATAATAAGTCGGGATTTCTTTCCTTTTTTTTTTTTTCTCCATGTCCCCTTAGGGGCTCCGTAGGTCCCAATCATCATCAGTTCTGATGATGCCACAAACATAGCGAGTTCACAACATCCTAAAATTGTAAGTCGTACTGGAATACTGTGACATTGTACTAAAACAATACTCTGTCCTTTACTAATTTCCTTAAAGTGTGCCTATTGTTTTATTATTCTAATTTTCATAATCATGCTGTGTGAAAACTCTTAATATATTGACAGTCTCTTAATATATTGACAGTCTGATAGTATATTGGCAATGTACTCTTTAAAAATGTGAATATATTGAATGCACAAAGTACTTTGTTTCATCTGGAAAGTGTGTTGTAATTGATCTCTGTGTACTGGTGAAGCATGTAATGTACAAAGTGGCAAAGAAGAATAATAAAAGACATTAAGTAACTAAAAAGTGTACTTCATTTGCACTTATAGTAAACCATAAGTGTAACTGGAGCATACTGTGATCATACTACTAATATATAAAATGTATAATATTTAAAAGATATTCTAAATATATTTTAAATGTAATTCATTCACAAAAATAGTACACTTAAGATATACTAATCAAGCACGTTTATGTGACATAAAAAGTCGTGTACATAAGTATAACTTTAGTTGTTCCAAAAAAGTGCATGATAATACACTTAGTACACTTCAAATTGTGCTTTGCTACAATTTAATTACTATTAAAACACACTAAGGACAAAATTAGTTGTTCCAAAATACCATACTTCAAGTTAACTAATCCTTAGCTAACTTGAAGTATACTGATGATTATTCTGACTTCAAGTATGCTAAGATTTAACGTACTTATATTTATTTTTTACCAGGGTAAATATTCAAGGTCAAACCATTTTTAATATCCAACTGTGACAAGCTGAGTTGATACAATTAGATTTTGTAAAGGCCAACTGAATATTACTTTGTTACTTGTAGTTGCTGTTAATGGTCCATGCTTTTATTTTGGCAACATTCTGTACAACGTATCTGTGCTAAGAGAACAACAGAGCTACCGGAGAAGATTCACTGCAATAAAAGAGCAAGGCAGAAAAACACATAAGGCAACTTAAATTTAACTTCAGTCAATAAGGGAGCAGGGTAATGGCGATTAAAGTTTATTTAAGTAATTTAATTCTGTGACTGATTGATTAATGATTCCTGAAAGGAATTGTATCAATGTAACAAGCTTTGCTTCACTAACAGTAAAAAAAACGATTGTAATTTTTATTTCTCTCGTTTAGTTCTTGCGGTGGTTGATTTGCAATGATGTGCTTTAATAAATCATTTTACCATCAGTTCCGGCCTTCTCAAAGTACAGATTTTTTTTTAATCAAGCGGCAATCGATCCAATACCCATAAAACACAAGGTCAGTATCGCCAATACTGATGCTGATTCTGATACTGATGCATTTTGTTTAAGTCTGATATATCATCAAACTTCTGACCTTTTTCTGATTTTTTTGTTGTTGTTGTTTTCTTTTAATTATTTTTGTTCAAATCTAGGACAGAACATGGACAAAATGTATAGGTGTCTACTAGATTTCGTAACATGATAAACAGTAACAATAGAAAAACAAAACAATTTACAAAGGGCAGAAAAATATAATTTGAAAGCAAATCAAAACAAAGTCTTTTTATGCTAAGGCTGAGAAACTTCAACTCGAAAATAAAATAACATTTCAAGAGTGATTCTGAAACATAAGTATCGATATTATCACGCTGGTATTGATCCGATACTGATGCCGACTTGGCATCGTTATTGTCAATATTTTGGATAGACCCCTCCATCTCTAAAGATCGGATTACTGCCACCCTCACAGACAACCCTGACAACAAGAAGTAGACTTCCTACAAGTGACTGACCTACCAAAATTAGATCACACATTTGTGTTCTTCTGCTTTAAATAACAACGCCAAAACAAACATGGAGCTTTTATACAACCCGTTTCATTCAACATAAACGTACCACAGAATTTCAGGAAAATGAACATCGTATGGTGGTTGAACACGGTGGTGGCAGTGTGATGCTCTGGGGCTGCTTTGCTTCTTCAAGTCCTTGACAGCTTTCTGCAGGGTATGGAACCATGATTTTCTTTCCATCAGAAAATCCTGATTGAGATTGTCTAACCATGAGTTCTAAACTGAACCGCAATTATGCAGCAGCAAAATGCCCAAAAGCACAAAAGAAAAATCCCCGTCCAAAAAGGTGAACTAGATTCATTTCTCACGTACAATGCTGTTGTACAACTTTAAATGGGCCGTGCATGAAAACCCTCCAATTAAAACAATTCTACAAATAAAAATCCTCGGTGATGTAAAACACTTATTGTGAGTTATCACAAATGCTTGATGAAAGTCCTTTTCAGTAAGGGTGCAACTGGTTGCTATATTTAGAGCATGACTTTTTGTGTGCGTGACAAGTTGATTTGTATGGCGTTTTTTTTCTTTTCTTAAAAAAATCATATTTTAAAAAGAGATTTTTTTAAATTATTTGGGTACTTATCACAGCACTGTTGTTTGTTAAATACATAAAAACAAATGTCCATCTTAGTTCTGGGTTGAAATTCTTCCTGTGATTTTTATGAGGAAAGTTATGAGGCTTTTTTAAATAGAAAGTTTCAGACAAAAACATAGATTCAGATGCGCGCCAGTTATTTGTATTAGTTTAGTTTTTCAATTTTACAGCATCTGGGTACATGCATGAAATCATTTTAACAACATAACTAAAAAGCCATAATGCTTACAGAGTTAACAAGGTTAGAAAAGTTGAAAGCCACATCTCCATAAGTTTCCATAGATCTGGATTCTCAGACACGGGGAAAGGGAAAGCAAAACAGTCTTACCTAAGTTAGCTCGTCTCTGGAAACTAAAATATCGTACAAAGTATTTTCAGGAAGAAAAATGTATTCCTTTTCTTTTTCCCATCACATAGATCGTTGTTCCCTTAGAAACGAACAAGGATATCTAGACTGTTTGTCAACTGGACACAGAGTAAACATCAGCAGTCTGCGGGCTGAGCCAGATTCCCAGCAGCCAGATCCGTCTCCCAACTTTTTTATGCCACCAAGGATTTTTTTCCCCCTCTGTCTTAAACCCAGCAGGCCAGCGCTGCTCGGTGAAAAAAAACATCCCATTGGAGAAGAGGTGGTCGCTGACGTCACAAGCTCGCGCTATCATTGGTTGGCCGAGCCGTCGGTCAGCGGTGTCCACGTGTGCACTTTCTCTCCGCCCGCTGGAGCTCGTGCCCGGTCCGTCTCTTCTCACAGGAAACCGTTACTTTCCGTGGCGCGAGGGAGGGCAGGGCGTCCCGAAACAAGAGCCCCGGCACGTACACTGCAGCTGGAGGAGGAAGAGCTGGACGTCCCTTTCATTGAGAACATTCATCCCTAACTACACTTTACTTTCTCCTCAAAACCTCCTCACAAAAAGGAGTATCATTATGGAGGTATTTTTGAAAGGTATTCAAGTAACTATGAACTCCTCCACAATTATCTCAGCTCTTTCAGCAAACCACTGGAACAGCAGCAATACACCTACATGTATAGTATATTATATTGGACAAAACAGGAAATTTTATATATTTCTTTAATGTTTTTTTCAGTGACTGTAAAGGTTCATAACATTTGCTGTCACAAAATAACATGTATATTATGTAACATGTATGTATGTTATATTATCACAATATAACATGAATATAACATAATTAACAAACGTGTTAATTACATTGTATAAACATGATAATGTATTATATAAACTTAATTTCACCCAGATTTCTGGAACATCCATTGGGAATTTTAAAGTACCAACACTTTTTTTTCCCTACAGCTTTTTCTGTGTGAATTATAAGTAATCACAAATTTCCCTGTTTTGGAATCTCAATGTGTTTTATTCAGTTACTTAATTTTACATCATCTGGTCTTTAGTGTCTGTATTTAAACTGTTTTGTGTTTTCCATGTAAACCAAAAGGCCCAACTAGATGGTGCCCTGCAAATTAGCTTGAGCTATCCAATGTAGGCCCCGCCCACATGGAAACCTGTGGACATGTACAATATTTTATTCACGTGAATTTAAAATAAGAAGATGCATGATTTGATGTGAAACACGTATCACAACTATACAACAACAGTCAACAGTATCATAAAACTCCTAAATCTCTGTTCTGGCTTTCGGTTTTTACATGCTCCTCCCGACTGCTCATCCTCTGGAAAAAATTTTTTTTGACTCACCCTGGCCTTTGCGTGTCGAAACCAAATAGATTCCAGCAGCCATACAAATGTGCTGACGCACCTGTTGAGCCCATGCAAAATTAGGACAGTAAAACAAAGCCATTCGAGGACACAAAAGTTTTTGCTTCACTCTAATTTCTCTTTATGCCAGGAGTTTGACCATGTCGTAGAGACCACCTTATTATTTGTCACTACTCAGCAGCAGTAGGTTTTCTGTTTTTAAAATTCAGACTTGTGTGAACAAACTTGTAGAAACCTTTCAGTACTTTCACTGTTAGCACGTAGCTACTGTATTGCTGACACATGTAAACGAAGAGGCAGTATTTTTCATAAGATTTGCAGCACCTTCTGTTTGTGCTTTAATCGTTAACTCAAGCAGTATAGCTTGAGAAGCTCGTTCATGACTGTGCTATTATGGGATTTTAGCAACTGTGAAAGCATTTTATTTTGTAAGGGCTGGGTCAGGATTATATGATTCAAGGCATTTAGTAAATACGAAAAGCAGCTAGATTGTTCCTGTTGAAGAGAAACAAAACCACTATCTCGCAACGCCAGGTCACCTTATTTTTTGTCAAATGTACGGGAGCAAAACGTCAGCGTGAGTTCTCAAAAAGACAGAATGTCAAGATGAATGCTGCCATTGTTAGATTGTTGCACTTGAATCACTAAACTAGTGTAAGGATTTTGAGTTTTTCTGTGCGTTTATTTAGGATTCTGTCTCAGTTGAATTGCTATGTTGTCCTGTCTACCCTGGATTGATTCCAGCTGTGTCTAGTTCCCTTGATTACCCCCTGTGTATTTACACCCACCTGAGTCTCTTGTTCTCTGTCAGGTCCTTGTTTATACTGTCTTGTTGTAGTGACTATTGTCATTGTCTGTTCAGTGCTACCAGTGTCAGAGCCATTGCTGTTTGCTCCACTGTGTTGTCTGGACTTTTGTCATTTGCTTCACCATTAAAATAATCATTTCTCAAAAACCTGGGTCCACCGCATCTGTCCTCACCTTCTACAACCTGCAAATCATGACAACTAGGGTTGCGACTATTTTAGTAATTGATTATTCTGACGATTAATTGATAAATCAGGTAACAAAATTGGCAGATTTTTCATTTCACCACTTAAGTTTTTTTTTTTTTTTTACACAAAATTAGAAATACAAGACACAAATAAGCAAATTTTTTAGATAAGGAAATAAGCATTTCATTGCCTAAAATGCAATAATATTTTTATTTATTTCTTAAATGCTATTTTTTTTGCATTCATTTTATGTACAGCTTTGGATTAATTACTGCTCTGACTTTGTTGTTCATTCAGCAAATGGCCTTTTTGTGAGTTTGCATACTTCAGTTGATGATTAACCAATGACTGAATTAGTTGACGATTATTTCATTAATCGATTAGTTACAATTAAACCAATCTTTTTTTTTTTGCTCTATACAGTTTTCTTTATATTAAATATATTAAATCTTTCACTGGTGTTTCATGACATAAAATAGGACGTGGAGATGTGTCTGTATCACCTTTGGTAAAAGGAAGGTGGAGTTAGGTCGAATCACACACATAACATGCCAGTAATCTGGCTACTTCTGTAGTCTCCGTTATGATTATTGTAAAGTTTTACCAATGTGACTATGATCGTGTTATTGAACTCTGGTGACCCTGAATGCTTCTTGATGAGGATTGTTCTCAGTGATGAAACACATGAAATGAACACACCAGGTTATCTAGTCACACTGCTTCATAATACATTGATAGTTCAGTCAAAAATAATCTCAAGCTGTTTCCTTGTTAAGACTGGAGATTAATTTTTGAGATTATATATGACTGAAAATATACTTTTTGGTTTTTAAGACACGGACAACTTTTAGGAGCTAAAAATAAAAATGCTTTGAGTATAATTGCATGTTTATGTGCTAACTGGTGCAGACAGATGCAGAAGTTTATTCTCGTTGCACACCCTGCAAACGTCTCATTTGGCAGTGCGGGGCACACAGTGTAGCAGTGGTTTTTAAAAGCTTAGAGATGATAGCAGGCTTGGCTTTATTTGTAAAAACCTTCACTAACAAGGTTGGAAATGGCCATTGTTGATGTGTTCAATCTCAGAAACTACCCTGACCCGCGACAAGCCCATTTAATGGGCTCAAATAAAATCTTAACCTTTAAATGTGAAGTCCTGGTCATGAATTTTGTTCACACTGAGGCACATTTTACAGTTCGCCCCAGCCTATTTGTAGTTCAGTGGCCAAGGATTCACCTAATTGTGGATTTCTCTGTGGAACGTAACTGTAAAATTATTTGAGAAAAATTTGCATTGAGCAAATCTGATGTATTCTTTTTTTAAAAGGTTTTATTGACCTTTATATGATAGTTAATTGACAGGAAAGTGGGAAATGAGAGAAGTGGAAGTTATACGGCAAAGGTCGCCTGGTCGGGAATCAAACCTGCGACGGCCACGTTGAGAACTAAGGCCTCCAATGTGGGTTGTGCTTAACCCCTGCGCCACTACGGCACACCACACAAATCTGATGTATTCTAAAGAAAATGCAGCTTGGGAAGCTGAAATATCTAGGCATGCAAGTGCTACTTGACTTGCTGTTGGTTCGCATTTGCAAAGTAGCCAATGGAGGAGTAGCTGTACCTTCCAGAGCCCGCATAGGCAGAGCTGTAGATGTTAGCTTCTGATGTAGTGCCAAAACAGTTTCCTTTGTGTGTATTAATCTATATGAAGGCATAAAGCGAGCCGAGCCGGGCCGAGCCGGGTTGGGCTGGGTTGAGCCAGTGGAAAAGGGGCAAAATTTGGTGTTTGGACTATTAAAGGGTCAGTGTTATGCATTTTCCATTCACGTAGTGCCATTTTATAGCACAATCAAACTATGTTACATTCAGTTGTTATAAAAATGCATCATATATTAAATATGACCTGAAAGAAATTTGATTTCATAACACCTGAAATTGTGCCTCTGTCTCTTTAAGAAACTCCTGCTCTTTCTGAAACTTTGCATACAGAAAGTTGCCACTCTTAATGTTTCAACATTGTCTCAAATGAACAGCCAGACATTTGCAGACATAATAAAAACAAAAATAGAATGACCTCAAACCTCTGTAAATAGTTTATAGTTCTTTTTTTATGCTTAAAATCGAGAGCCAAGGCAGAAAACCAAACTACTTTAAATGGGATCTACAAACCCTATTGTAGAACCCATTTATATATACTAAAAACTTTCTGATGACTGTGTTAAGGAAATAGATTAATTATTCTTATCTTTATATGAGACACTGTTTCAATTAATAAGTGAGTCAAGATTAACACAGAATGCATTCTGATTTGTATTTAAATCAAGGGTCAAGCAGAGAAAGAAATGACTGTTGAAACTCCCGGCAGAAACCGGGAGTGAAGAAGAGATGAAAGAAAGCACATCGCTTTTAATATTCACCAGCCCTCTTACAAAGAGGGGAGAAAAAGGGAGTATCCCACCAGTTTTGGTTTACTTCACAACTCTGGTACTTGCACCTGCAGACTGTGACCCTGGACGGTCCATTACGTGTTTCCAAAGAGCTGCCTCCAACATGAAGGTGCATTATAGGTAAAACTGATTCCTTGTTTGACTGAAATAAAAGAAAGTGTTGTCATAACAACTGTTAAAAATGTGCAACTTGCAAAGAAACATCGAGCAAAAATATTGATGAGGTGTGTGTAGATGCTTGTGCTGGCATGTTAATAATAAAATCCACAAAAATCCAGAAATAAATTCACTTAAGCAGAGAGTTCTTGTTTTATTTTTATCATAGGAGGTTGGTTGCTGTATTTTTTTCATCTTAGAAAAGGAAAAAAAAAATCAAATAAATCATGAGTGTATGTAAACTTGTTTCGTTTATCTGAAACGTTAAGACGTAAGTCGATCATGGTATTATTTGAATATACAATTTACTTAATGTCAGACTTAAAGGCGCAGTTTAGCAAAATCTTTCTGTTGTGAGTTAGATGAGAATGATACCAGATTTCATGTGTGTGTTAAATGTAGAAAAGTGGGCAGCGGACATTAAACTTAGCTTAGCATAAAGACAGAAATCTAACTGACCACGGTCCACATCTGGACTGGGATCAGTGCAACTCTAAAGGTGTGACTGAAGTGAGAAAGCTCCATAAAAGAGCTTAAATTCACATCATTTACCGCAGAAAGCAGATAGAAACACACGGTTATTTATGCAAAGTCAGTGTCTGAAACATGTCGCCTTAATGATAGCAGTGGTAGTACTCTCTAAAAACTGCTGGGCTTTTCCTTTTGCCTGAATTTTGGGCTTATCTTTTCAAAACAGGAGTTGGGCAGTTTTACATAGCAATTAGTTTAAAAAAACTTCAATTTTATTGTATCAGGCAGGTAAAAAAGCTGCCTTTGGTCTGATCCCTGTGCAGTCAAACGATTTTAAAAATAACTGTCTTGCTCTAATTTCCCGTTGGTTGGACCTTAGACTCCAAAATGAAACCAGACCCAAAAAAGCTAAACTAAATAACTTAACATGACTAAACTTTTCTTATTTAGGGAGTTTTATGTTCCCTTATTGTCACTTTGGTGATGTTACTTATCTCTCCCACTTCAGCCATTATGCAATGATTTAAAGTAACAAATGTAGTGACTTTCAGAACAGCCAGTACCTTTTTTCCTGACTGAGGAGTTAGCAGTGGGTATAGAGAAGACTAGAAAAAGCCTCATTATTCTTCACAGTCCACCATGTTGAAATGAACAACAAACTGATCTGAACCTCTTCCAAAGGATAAAATAAGAGTGTAGATGGTAAAATACTGCTGATGTTAATGTTACTTATTTTTGTTGTTGACTTACTTCTTACAAGGTGTAAGCTAACCAGCTTACCAGCTAGGTGATAACCACTAGCTAGCGCCAGCTGTGGCTGTCAATTTGAGCAAACAACTGGTAGTAAAGTCAATATAAACAATAATAATTGTTGTTTATATGTGTGTGTGGTTATTACACATTATCCCTGTGCATTGATAGGTTCTTTCTTCCACAGATTAAAAACATGGTGAACATGTTAACACTAGGTTAACAGACTCCTCTAAAGTACCACTAGGTGGGATCATGTGTCCAGGCATGGCTGTCCAACTCACCCTCTCTCAGACCCATTGACTGCTGGAGACAAACAGGGTTGATTCATTTTATTATTTGTTTAGAAATTCAGGTTGTGAACTTTTTTCCTGCTTACTTTTTGCTAATCTTTAAGTTTGATATTATCATCTTTAATTAAAACCACACCCAGCATGCTGTTGTGGCAAATCAGCCCAGTCATGGTCAGTCGTTCTTTGGCATTAGCAAGACTGAGACATCAAAATAACCCGAATTATATTGTTTTTCATCCAGCTAACAATTTTTAGAGTGTACTTTTATGACAAATTGAGGTAAAACCTTCGTCAACTAGCCTCCCTCGTAGGAGTTTGTTTCATCTGACATTACACATACAAATAAGCTGCCCGTTGTCTGGACCTGAATTCGCTTAGTGTGTCCTTTAGTTTTGCTGTGAGCAGTTCAGACCGACCAGTATGGCCACAGGTTCTCCCGAAACATGGACTCCTCGGATCTCATTGCTCAGCAGCAAAGTCTGTCTGCTAGCTGGAGGATCCGGGCCGCTCCAAGACAAGAAGACAATCTAGAAGTGGGTGACCATGCAGAGGGAATGGCAGGTTAGGATGTGCTGGAAGCTTCTGGGGCCGGGAGGTCACAGGAATGAACATGCGAGCGCAAGGGACGTCATGGGACAGTGGTGCGGGACGAAGACCAGTAGAGAGGCTTTATGACGGAGACATGGACGCGGCACGTGGGGCATGTCTGTCTCTTCCACAGCCACTGCTCCATGCACTGAAACACACCACAGAACAGACGGGAACATCACCCACATTTATTGGCTAACTGAGTTGGTGATTTATACACATATTGATTTTCTGTTCTCATGGCACCATGTCATTTCCCACATGTAGGAACTACATGCACAGCAAGGTCATGTGGGAAGGACGACAGTAGCACGTGTTTTGTTCATTTCCTGTGAGATCCTCAGAAGACAGTTTTCTGTGTTTAAAAACTGATAAAGCTGATATAACCAGTGCTGACCACCAGGAGGGTTGAGAGGGGCCCCTAGACCCCTCTTGAAAAATTCTGGCCACCCCAGAGAGAATCCTGTTCATGTCATAGAAAAGCCAGCAGAGTCATCTTTCTCAATGGGATTTAAATCCCATTGAATAAATAAATAAATAAATAAATAAATAAATAAATAAATAAATAAATAAATAAATAAATAAATAAATAAATAAATAAATATTTCTGGGAGCATCACTAGAAAAATAATCCAAAGTTCTGAAAAATTTAACACAATATCAACTCTGGTTTCAAGGTCAACACTTGGATTGGAATAAATCGGGGTCACCTATTAAAGTAAATTGATGTCTGAACATATTCAAATATACATACACACATATGCAAATGTTTTACCTACTTTATACATTTCTTTAATGTAAAGTTTAAGTTGACAGACTATATTTACACCAGAGGTTGTAGCTTGCAGAAGTATTCATGGGGCAAGGAAAGATTTCACAGTAACTCTGGAGGAGCAGCAGAGACTGTACACACCATCAATCTGGACTTTCATAGAGAAGTGGCAAAAAGGAAGACATTGTTAAAAGAAAGCCACTAAGACTCGTTTGCAGTTTGCCGCAGGTCATGCAGGGGACGCAGCAGGCATAAGAAAAATGGTGCTTCAGTCAGAAATGACCAAAATGAGGCTTGCTTCATGCAAAATGCTTTCTGAGGTGAGAAACTATGACTGCACATCACCCTGAATGTTGTTTTCTTTAAATGGCATCAAAGAAGCTGCTAATAGATAATGGAATGATGGACTGAGACAAATACAGGGCAACCCTTCAATCACTATCGTTTTCCTTCTGCTTCACTTTTTGTGGGCCGACCACACAAAATCCAAAGAAAATACATTTAATTTTGGGGTTGCAACTTGACAAAATGTAAAGTTCAAACACTATGAATAATTTTGCAAGGCTCATTTCAAGCTCATAGACTATAAAAACCTCTGGTACAACTAATACTGCACATTATTAAACTGACTGAACTACAGTCAGTCACAAAGACTACGTTATTCTCCAACAGCATAATGTTCTTAATTATAAATTCAAACCTTTACACTACTATAGCTTTAGTGCTTCACTGTGAGGGGGAAGAGGTTAACTGGAACACCAAAATCTGACCAAACCCAAAGAGGTCATGGGTCAGCTTTCAGGATTTATTTTAAGTTAAAAGTTTTTGTGGCACTAGTGACCTTTATTTGCTGCATCAGACAGGAAACGAGAGAGAAGTAGTGAAAACACTAAACCGAACCTCGGCCAGCTCATCGAGGACAAATATATATACATATATATATGTGTGTGTGTGTGTGTGTGTGTGTGTGTGTGTAGACATTTTCAGGATTTGCAGATTCAGACACGCCACGTTCCTGAAATAAAGCAAGAAGGAATCCTCCTGATCATTGAAGGAATCACTAAAATAAAAAAAGATGGCGCCCTTCCAAGAGATTTCAGCGATGCCTTCGCAGGGAAAGCTGTCGACGCAGGGCGTGCTGCTCCTTCGCCGAGGAAATCCACCCATCCGCAGACTTTCTCCTCTCCTCCGTCAGCCTCCTGAACAGACAGGCCACCGTGTCGCTGCTTCTGCGCAGCACGCTCGCCTCTAACCGCCGGGCTTCCTTCAGCACCCACCAGAAGAAGACATCAGACTCAGTAAGCGCCAAATTGGGGATCAACGGTTCGTGAGGACGCTCCATGCATCTACAGAGTCATTTGCTACTGGATCGTTGTTTTCATACCAGGCCCCGTCATGCATATGCAGGAATGAGATTTGAGACCTGATTCGTGGCATGCTTGGGGTCACGTTGGATCACAGACAGGAAGTTTGCAGCGTGTCTGACCTGAACACGTTCTCTTACCTCTTTGTGGAAGCGGTGTGTGCAGTGAAGTTCTTGAACTCCCTCTCCGTTCTTGCACATGTCTTCATGGCAAATCAGGCACATCTTGTCTTTATCGCTCTACGAAACATCAAGAGGATTTTCAGCGTCAGTGTCAACAGTTCTTTTGTTTCTGATACTGTTACACAAAGCTACAAAGGGACATGTGAGTGATTCCATTTGCAAGGAGGGGACGATGATGTCACAGATCTGGATCAGTGTTACAGTGTTACATTTAGATTCCCCACAAACTCTTTCTTACTAACGACTGAAAGTTCTGCTAATAGGAGCTTTTTATTGTTGCTGTTACGTCATGCAGATCTCACATGTCTTCTATCCTGCGTGCTTATTAAGGTAACACAACCTTAATGCCCTCTAAGCACTCCTTAATCCCGACAGGCTTCGCTAAAAGCGACTTATCAAGAAGTTAAATAATAATCTTTATGCAGCGTAGACATCAGTTCTCACCAGACACATGGTTTTCTTGTCAGTGAAGCACAGCCTCCTCTGGAAGGACTCTGTCAGCTCTGGGATGGGGGTGATGCGGCTCTCTGTGACGGCCGTCTTGGGCCGGTTTTCGTCCGAGGAGATGCGATGAACCCTCTGGTGAGGCCTGACCTCCCCCTTGTCTTCCCTCGTTTTGGGAATGGGCGCGTTGGTTGCCGTGTGGGTCTTGTTCAGCTTCATGGCATCCAGTTGTGTCTGTACATCACACAAATGAAGAGAAAATGAGTGTCATTGAGGGGTTTGTTATTTTCTTTTTCTTTGCTGAAAATACAAAGAGCCTCAGTGAGAGTTTTCAGTGAATGAGTAAACCACTCTGCCACTAATGTCCTTAGATAACGTCAACTAATTATAGCTAACCTCTTGACTCTGTTTATCCAGTTAATTCATTAGCTATAATCTGACCACTGTGAGATGGAAGGCAAGTATTCCTTAAGGTGATGTAAGGTGAATATTCTACGTTTAATTCGGCTCCTCGTTGTTTTTCTGTGTGACTGAAGCTAAGTTATGTCACAGCTCAATGATGCTTTACTTCCAAGCAAAATGAACAAAATGTACTGAGCTGCTTCTCAGGAATTATATCACACAACCACTTTTACTGGTTAAAGCTAGAGATGCACCGATCCGATATTAATATCTGTATCTGTCCGATATTGAAAAAAATTCTAGATCGATTACCTGTGACAAGGTACCCGATCCATAACGGCAGATCTATTCAGTCTAATTCTATGCTTTGTACTCTGAGCAACGTCATGCTTTGCTATTTATTTTACCATACATTTAAAATTGCTAATTGCATTTTTGTTAGTTTCAGTCTATTTATCATTGCTCCTAATTTCACCAACTGAACAAATTGAAGTCATGTTGTTTTTATATGTTTGTGAAGCTATTGGTGTGTTTAAGTGTGCAAAGTTATCAAATAAATTTGTAATTCAGGACATTTACATCTGTGTTTAAAAGAAAAAACACACAGAAAAATGTCTTAAGTCAATTCAGCACTGTTTTTCTGTATTGGATTGTTATCTGACAATATTAAATCTCAGATATCTGTATTGGTATCGGAAGTGAAAACAGTGTGTTGATGCATCCCTAGTTAAAGCAAAATATACATTACAACTTATATTTATGTGTTATATGAAAACAAATTTATCCAGTGGAAAGTGAGTCCATGTAGCTATCTTTCCTTTGCTTATGGCTAATTCTTATAACCCGTTGGTTTACATGTAAACGTTTTTGGGCTGACAGTCAAGGGACTAAAGAAACACCGCCTACTAATTCATAACCGGACAGAGAGAAGGTCATATTACTCAGGCATCTAAACATTTCAAACCAGGTTATACAGGTTGTTTCATTGACATCCAAGATCTCATTTGTAAGATAGACCAGTTTTTATAAAACAAACAAAAAATTACAAACACAGCAACAAAACAAGTACTTAAGAATTTGGACTCAATTAAATGAGCTAACAAAAATATGAGCTAAAAACAAGAGCCAAGATTTGGTGCTTTAACGTAGATGATTTCATTAACCATGTGATTTTTCAGTGTTTTGCACTTTTATAGCATCTTTTGTGTAGTCTTAGTTTTGATAATACAAATATTAAAAATGATCAATTAAGAAAATAAACCCACATTTTTTATGGATGGGCAGAATATAGATGCCAAAAACCATTTCCCTAAATGCTCCATTGCATATTTGGACCATGAACGTGTCAGATAACACACAGCAGCTCCCTGTTTGACAAAAACCTCATTTAATAAAGCTCATCTGTTATGGCAGGTAAAACAAAACGATTTATTTATGCAAAGTCTAGTAAAAACCTTTGACCAAGTCCGAATTGACATATGCACAAATGCAATAAATCAAATAATTTTAATATTTCATTCAGAGATGGACCAGTCGACCAAACAACAATACGAATCAGACAATTTTTTTTCTCAGCTGCTTCTGATTGCTAATCGAGTCATGTACCGAAGCAGCTGGAGGGGGTTTCCATTGATTAATTGTCAGAAAGCATCGGAATCAGTTGAAATGAGGATCAGCAGGCCAGAGGTCAGAGAAAACTGTAAACCAAAACCTGGAAATGAATGAGCGACCCATCTCTTCTTTGTTTTTCTCCTTTTAGGTTACATAACGGTTCATTGCCACCATCCAGTCTGATCCAGAATTAGCCATCATCCCCCACAAACACAAAACAAAGCTCTACGTATTTCATTAATTTCTCCCGTATCTCTAAATAACTGTAAACATTAAAACCTTTAAAGGTTTCTTTTTCATTGATGGAACTTTAATAATATAGACCAACAAGGAGCCAACTGTGATTTTCCAAAGCAATATAATATAGTTTCAAAACACAAAAGGATCAGGTTAAAAAATAAATAGATATTCTATGTGCTACTGAATGAGCAACAAACCGTCAGTTTATTGTTAATATCAGCGATGTTTGCTACATTATCTACTGAATGCACGCAGTTATTTTGAATTGTAGACTGCGGGGGGCGTTCTTAGTGTTCTCACAACAGAGATCTTAAACTTTGACTTCTGAATACCAGGAGAAAACAGAAAACAGGTTTAAGCATAAATCAATTTAGCAAAAACTATAAATAATAATAATAATAATAAAAAAGAGATCAGTTTAGCAGTCAGATGTAGCACAAACACATCCTACATTCTAAAGACCCTCACAGCTCCCTTCACTATATTCAACAGGGCCCAGTGTTCCACAAAGATGCATTAATACCTGCTATATGCAGAGCCAGACTTTAAAAAGGGTTGCCAGTGGCAGTAGCCCAGGGTTTCAATTCATAGTGGGCTCCCACAGATTTCTAAGCTTTTTTAAAGTTTTTTTTTTTTTTTAAACGAATGCATGTTTTGCAGACATTGCGCTTTATCTAAGAGTCATTGGTCCATATCAGGTGAGTTGCACAAATATTTGGGGATTTCTTATTACTGTAAGCAATTCTCAAGTATTGGAAAATTATAAAGTTATGATCATTCGTTTTTGGAACAACATGTTGAGCTAACGGCCAAGAGATGTATGAAACTTACCACTACCCAATTATGTATAGAACTACCTTTCATTTGCATAAGCAAAATATTTTTTCTCTGGTACATCGGGCACCAAAACAGCTTCCAGCCCAGGGGCCCACAACCTTGTAAATACGGCCCTGACAACTTGCTACACAAGTGGTATAAATTTTTTTCAAGGCACATTCCAGGTCAGGACTTCTTTCTACAACAAGCCATAAAAGATTATTACTACATTAGGCATTCACATGGAAGGGAACAGTCCAGACATGTAACATTCGACTGAATAAAAGTCACGTCTTGCTGTAATAAAATAGCACAGATATGAAGACCTGTTTTTCTGTGTGCATTATGATGCTCTACAAAAGTCAATTCAAGTGGACCTGAGTGCATCTGGGTGTTGCTCCCGTCCTTACCACGGTGGGGAGTGATGCTCTGCGGTCGAGGTTTGTTTTCGAAGGCCTCCTGAAACTACGTTTTCTCTCTCTGGAGTGTCCGCCATCCATTCCGTGACCCCAGTAGCTACTCATCCAGTTGGTGAAGTTCCCATCATCGTCCTCGTCGTTTTCCATCACGATAGCGGGCAGCAGTCTGAGGGACATGATCACTGCTGTGTGTACGCACACACACACACACAGGCACAGGCGCAGGCAGCCTCTTGGCTCAGCAAACCCAGCAGGACAGATTCAAATGAGATCCCAGCTCAGTGGTGCAGAAAGCAAAGACCACGCTCAGCTGACCCACTAAAGTCTCTGACAGCCCCGCCACACACGAACGTCCCACAGGGAGAAGGTAACGTCTACTGGATGCCACTGGGTGTTTTTTGTCTGTGTTGTTGTAGTGTTATTCCTGGATAAGCCAAAAATAAAACAGCAGAGCTTTTGCTTGAGTCTTTAAATAAGAGAATCCTTGGTAATCTATTTACCGTGTGGCTGGCAGAGAGTTAAAAAAAGGAGATGCTGGGAGACACTGAGTTACAGCTAGTAGTTTGTTTTTTTTTTTTTTTTTTCAGTGGGTGGCTGATGTGGCCTCAGCTTTAAATCTTTCCATTGCAGTGGCGGGCCTGTGGGTAAACAGCCGATACTCCAATTTGCCCATACTTTCCACTGGCAGACCGCATCAAACCTGTCAATAATTATGGAGTGCTGGGATCTGTGTCTCCCACATGGCACGGAGAGCCCAGGGCTCCCTGTGGCAAACGAGACAAACCACGTCTCTTTGGGATAACCTGTCTACCGCTGCACACCTATCTGTATTTATTTTTTCATAGTGTCTTTTTTCAAGACACTCATGAAACTTTACAAATTAAGCTTTGTAGTGGAACTACAAAGTTCCACTACAAAGTATAAACTTTAATTTGTTATATTGGGAGTTTATGTAATTGATAAATGTAAATCTAAAGTCTCAGTTTTCTATACCTAACGTGTAGTTTGCATTTTAATGCATTTTACTAGACAGACAGACAGACAGACAGACAGACAGATAGATAGATAGATAGATAGATAGATAGATAGATAGATAGATAGATAGATAGATAGATAGATAGATAGATAGATAGATAGATAGATAGATAGATGTCTACCTTCTGTCATTTGTGGCCATGCTAACTGGGGTTAGACCCGAGGTTCCCATGTGTCTGGAGGTTATAATTGAAAATGCCACACCATGTTGAAAAGTGCTGCCTAGGGTCTGTGACTACCAACATGGCCATCCTGCGGAAGGTGAATGGGAAACGGGGGATCAGTTTTCGCCATTCGGGCGGACGCGCAGTGTCGTTTAGAATTCATGGTAGGCTTTGTTGTGGTGAACCAGCTGTAGCATAACAGAGAGAAAGGGGGAGGATATGAGCAGCGCCTACACAAGCATGATTGACAGTGCTAATGCCCTCCTCCTGGTTCTGATTGGTTGTTTCTCTGGGAGGAGGACCATAATGGGGAAAGCAGAGGAGCTCAATTTTTTTCCCACAGATTATCTGTTTTATAATATACTGTCACACCATGCTGATAAATTTAACAAATATGTAAAAATAACATATTTTTTGTACAAGTTACATACTGTAGTCACAAAAAGAAAAGTTATTAGACACACACACACACACACACACACACACACACACGCACGCACGCGCACACACACACACACACACACACACACACACACACACACACACACACAGTACACTTGTTTTTCAACAGGAAGAAATTAAATAAAAACTCCATCCCTGCTTGACAGATAAAGCTTCAGTATCATCAAGCCCACAGAAACTTCTAAAGTCTAGATGAAACGTCTATGGCTTTGACCAAAGCATAAGGTTGTATCTTTTCTACAGAGCCTTTCCAGTTGATTTAACAACATCCAATGAGATATATCCTCCCCTCTTGTCTGTGGGATGTGTCTTTGTAGTCCATTTTATCCAAAAATTACACAGAAAAGCTTAAAGAAGGGCAAAAAATCCTGAAGGGAAAACTCAAAGCAGCAATCAACAAACTGGAGAGAAAAAAAGTTTAAGCACATCCCAGACGTGTGTTTAACCCAGATGATTAAATGATGCAGCCCTAAAACTAAAGCTCATGCTTTTTAATGTGAGGCTGGGGACTAGTAGTTTATCTATTGCATTTATCCTTTTTGACTGGGTGGATAAAGTTGCAGTTTTCCTGTCATTTCACTGAGTATTTCTTAAGATTTTACATGTTTACATGGACTAATATCTAAATTAGTGTTGATTTATGACTAGCTTAATCTTGAAAAGAACAACTGACAGCACACCAGTGCTGTGCTAAAACTTTTTAATTGTTTTCATTTTTAAGTTTACATGTGACTGATGAGAATTAGATGTTAACAGAGAAGCAATTTGACTTCCTACTTCCAGTGAAGGCCTCGTTATTCCAGGTTGAAACTGATAGTAGATCAATACGAGGAGGTGGAATTTCTTTTACTGTATGATACTGTATGATTTTACTGTATTTTTACTGTAATATGAGCTGATCTTTTGAGTTCGATATTTTCAAACCTAAAATATCGAGGTTTGAAAATGTACTCCGGTCAAAGTGCCTCTGAACGGACACCTCAAACACACAAATCTAGACTCTCACGCCCATAAGAGTGGATTGTTTTTCATACATTGTCTCCATTTAGCAACATGAATCGTAGGGAGGAGGACTAGTCTGGGCAGGCAGGCCTACAAGACATGCCAGATGTCTTAAAAACTTCCACAAAGCACAAAGATTACAGTCATCTGCTGTTATGTCTAAGATGGGAGTGAGTTAACGTCAAACCGAAAGTCAAAGGGCTCTCCTACATGCAAACTAGACGCTAAAACCCCAGAAGATTACTATGAGATTATCCAGCATTCAAATCACATTTTAATGACTATATAGGCTTGTTAAATGTTTGGCAAATTAGATGCAGAAGTCAATTCAAATCAATTTAAAGACAAAACGAGGAAGAAGATGTTTATTTGTTAATAGATTTTATGAATGCTAAACTGAGAAATTCATTTAAAAAATGTACATCATTGCTAGTTGGAACCAGAAGCTGTCTGACTCTGCATACCCTTAAAGACAAATCTATAAAATTAACAGAAATCATAGGCGTCATGAACACAATATGCAAACAATTATAAAAGGGTTCTTACCCTAAAAAGCTGATTTTATTATTTTTTATTTTTTGCATTATGTCATGTTGCTGCAGTTTCATTGGGAATTTATGATATATTAAATGCAATAAAACATGGCTTCTACATTTATTTGAAATGTAGTTTCCATTTGCATAAACTTATCTTTACTTGAATACCAAAATAAAATAAAAATAAATAAAATCTGTACACCAGATGCCACCTGATTGAGTAAATAGAATCCATCCATCCATTTTATAATAAACTAATAATAAACATAAAGCTAATAACTAATAATAAACAAACGCTGGGAGCACAGAGAAAAGTGAACACATCATAGAGAGAGAGAAAAAATAGTGATAATATCAGATATCAAGTATCAGAATATGTAATATCAGATATCTGATATCACATATTCTTTATGATTTTTTCCCCCCTTTTACCTTTACGCAACAACAAGGTTTTATTGTGCTCCACACTTTACACATGTAACCAGATGACTGAGTCCTTTAGCTGGGTCATGATGTGAAGAACCATAACAAACTCAGCTGACAATGAAAATAGATCAGAGCTGCTCTCTGTTTGAGAACAGACGGCCGTGGGCACATATTGAGTTTTTAGGCTCCTGTCGTGTCCTGACACAGGCTGTCTAAACTCAGAAACGAGAGGCAGGGGTAGCAGAAATAACAGCTTATGATAAATTACAAACATTAAAAAAAAAAAGGTTATTTTTTTAAGTGCAGCTCCAATTTTGAATAAGAACTGAAAAGTAAAAAATGTACATGACTGTTTCTATCTTTATGTAAAGGTTAGTTTAGATTGTGTACAGTTAGTATTTAAAATTGCTAAATGCTCATTTTCAACGTCGCCCTACTCCGCTACTTCCTCTGAACAATCCAGAACTGGACTGATTAAAAGACAGCAACACCGCCATCTAGTGGCTTCAGTTAAACCGAAGCTGTACACACACTAAAACAATACCAAACCTAGCCTGTAAAAGACAGTTTTTCGTAGCAGAATATTTTTTCTCACACTTGACAACTTGATGTTTTCAATTTAATTAAAATTGAATAAAAATATGAAATAAAGTAAACTCGTTCAGAAATTACCAAAGGAGGTATTACAGGTTGCTAAAAGGTGATGAAGACGTTTCCGCTGGACCGCTGTCCCTGAAGTAAACCCGGCCGCTTCACATAATCAAGACTACGAGGAAGAGTACAGCAATTCAATTGACTTAAGTTACACAAAGTTTCAGTTTAATTTCAATGACCTAACTGTTTAAATATCTGGCCATAAAAAGAATAGAAATTGTGTAAACACAGTTTAATATCACAACTTCTTAACAAAGGCTAAAGGCAATTTTTGGCAGATTTTGCGAGTTCCCAGTTAGAAAATACAAGAGGTGGGGTTTTCCTTATTTCAACTTATTCAGGATGGCTGAATTAAAGAAATGGTGCAAAGAGGAGCAAACCAAATTACTTGACAACCAATTGAAGTATTTTAAATTGCTCAGTTGTTTTTAGCATGAACATAACCCTTTTCATAGCCTATTTTTAAAGTATTTTGTTCAGTTGGATTGCCAGTTGAGCAATGAGAGTTTCATCTAATTCCTGCACTATACTTGACATTTATCATCAAAATTATGATCCCATTCTTGCCGTAGTATGGATCAGTGGGTAAAGTAGTCGTCCTGCAATCGGCAGGTTGATTCCAGCTCCCTCCCATCATGTCAATGTGCCTCTTGGAAAGACATTGAAATCCAAGTTCTGCATACATCCCGTTTACTCTCACTGATTGCTTTGCCAAAATAAGGAAGAATAAAGCTCTTGTTCACCTTTTCTCGTGGACAGAAGATCAAATAAAAACAACATTACGTCAGCCTGGAATCACGTCTGTCTTTAAAACAGACTTAAAATTGTCTCTTTTAAAAAATCATTAGGACCGTCTTGCCTGCTGGGGGCAGCATTACATTTTCCGACCTGCTGCGGTGCCATCAGCCAAAGAGAAGCTCTCAGTGGTTTCCTCACGCTGTGTGCTGGTGGTAGCGGCTGGCTAAACATTGCTAAGTACAGTGTGGAACATGGCCGCTTCAAAGCCAGTCGAGCCCCAGTCTGGGAGCGGGTTACCCCGCTGGCAGCTGGCGCTACTTGTCGGAGCTCCCATTGTGCTCGGAGTCGGAGCGGTTTACTTTTGGAACCGAAACAAAACCAAGGAACCGAAAGGGACCGGGGAGCGGAAGACTCCTGAAGGCAGCGCCAGCCCCGTTCAGGGACAAGACGGCGCTACTCGAAGCAACCGTGAAGAGGAGAACATGGTACTGTAGCCCAGAGAGGAATCTTGTCGTTTCTGGGCGACTCTCCTCACTTTGACACAGTTAATACTGCTGCTGGCTCAGACAGTCGTCATTGTGTTCAAGTCCGGTCAAGGACACCTGACGACAGAGCCCCTGTCAGTGACAGCAGGAAGGCAAGGCCGACAGCTAGTGGCTCGGTGCGGTGGATTAACCTGCGCTAACTAGCTGTCTGCCAAGCTAACCTTGTCTGTGCAGCTAGGTTAACTACTGTGACTGACGTATTAAACCAGTTACATCTAAAGCATCCATTGGTGATGAAATGTTCTTTATTGCCTCCTATATATTAAACCCACCTAATGGAAAGTAACAAAAACATATCCCATGTTTAATCTTAGCTGTTTAATGTTGCACGAGTTCCATGCTAGCTGGCTAACACCGGGGTCAGAAAGTCAAGGTGGGCGGGAACGGCTGTCAAGAGTAGCTTCGCATTCATGGAGTTAAAAGCGGAGCCTATCATGTCATACAGGACGGAGTGAGCTAGCTGGACAGTCTCATTTTCTCATTCAGTAACTCTACAGTGAAACCCAGACAACCTTTTAATGTAGAGGGACACCTGTCCCAGTAGGCGTGTGTGTGATCCCACGTGTTGTATAAGGGTGTGAGGAAATGTATATTTTCTATTCAGATTGTGTGCAGATTCGTCCTGTTTATCACAATTATAGTCAGTTTTATTGAAATGTGAACTGTTTTTGCAGCATGGTTGTCTGTAACGTGTTTCTTCGTGTTGCTCACATATTGCCTGCCTTCTGTTTTGCTTGACTTTTTGAGTATAAAATAGTCTGCAGTCCAACCACACAATGCGCACGTCATTCAAACAGTTTCATTACTTTCACTTTTTATACCACAGAACAGACTGTAGCTCATGCTTACATGCAAACAACAAGTAAATACAGACTTGGACATTTTTAGAGTAGAAATAAAGATAATGGAAAGCGAAAAATCCCAAAGAATTAATCAATTGACTTTCAGTTCCTGCTACTTTAAGAGATCTTTGATTTATACTGCCCGTTTTTCTAAACAATAATATTTCCATTTGAAAAACTGCAATAGAGTCCATCTTTTCATAGTTGTTAAAACCTTTTTGAGATGATTGTCCCCACTTTCGGAGGCACTTCTAGGTCGAATGAAGACTGTGTTCAACTGAAAACGACAAGTTCAGCTTGGGGATGAAAGGTCCCTCCATTGTCTTTTACCAGTTAAACGTTTAACCGAAATTCACAGAGTGAGACGAAACCAAGACAGAGGCTCTTATTAGAGAGGTTTGAAACAGGTCAGCTCATTTGAAGTTTTCACACTATGGACAGAATAAAATCTCGACAGACCCAGACTGCCAACATTATTCATGTGAACTGATTCACTATGTTGGCTTTCCTGTAGTGTAAGGAGACAGCTGGATAATGTAGCTGTAGTCCAGTAAATTTGACATGCTTTTAAAAAGTTAAATAGGCTGAGAACTACTTTCCATTTATTTATGTAGGATAACAAGAGAAAATGTCTTCAGAAGTAAAATGTAGCCTTTGTGCTACGGAAAGACGGTCGACCCTTTTCATACAAGGGGAAACTCAGGTTTTTGAGAAAATGGCCACTTATCAGTTGATCGTTAGTTGATCGATGAGATCAATCTACTTTAGATTAACTCATTTATCGATAACTTGCATCCCTAGTCTTTATAACTGAAAAATAGTTCAGCATCAGGCGTCATGTATTATCAAGGATTTAGTTAATGTTTAAAAACCCAAGAACTGGCAGTGAAGTTTGGATTGATGCTTTTTCAGCTTGAACTATTTTGTTCCCATGGGAACGTCAACAAAAGCTCCGTTTAGGTTTTAGGATGTGGGATAATGCAATCCTTGTGGGCCTTTTGGCGGCACACTTTCCCTACTAAATTGAATCGTTTTTATGAAGTGGCCGGTTTGGCAATGGCTGAATTTTATTACACTAGAAGCTTTTGTGAGACTGACTGTGTGCAGTCATAGATTTTTGACCAAAAAGCATCTGATACTTCTTTTTCAAATAATTTGTTAATCACTTTTGTAAAATGCTACAAAATAAAGTTTGAAGCCCATCGTAGCCTTTCTGAGTATAGCTCTCTCTAATACTTGGAAAATGACACATTACTATTAAATATTTAGTTGTTTTCAGCAGAGATGACTCTCTCATTAATAAATAAACACCATTCTTTATGTGCCAAAGTATTTTGTTTTAAATTGCCCTGGAAAAAAAAGTTCAACATGTAAGACAAATGCATGCATCACTTATTCTTCAAATCAGACTCCTCATGGTTTTGTTTAGTTTTTTTTCCTCTCGTTTAACTCTCGTTTACTTTGCCCGTCTTTTCCTTTAGAGCCCTCTGGACAAGGCCCAAGCAGCAAAGAATAAGGGCAACAAATATTTTAAGGCTGGCAAGTACGACAAGGCGATCCAGTGCTACACTGAGGCCATTGCTCTCTGCCCCAAAGAGCACAAGTCGGATTTGTCCACGTTCTACCAGAACAGAGCAGCGGCATACGAACAGCAGGTTGGCACCTTGATGGCGGCCATTTTGCTTTAACCCGAAACAACATGGTGGAGAATGGTCTGTTCACGACCCTCTCCATCACGTTTGACTCTGCTTACTGGAGTTTGGACGCGTTAAACGAGGTTACCCTGTCGTTTCAGCTGAAGTGGACAGAAGTGGTCCAGGATTGCTCCCAGGCCGTGGAGCTGAACCCGCGATACATCAAGGCTCTGTTCAGGAGGGCCAAAGCTCTGGAGAGACTGGACAACAAGAGGGAGTGCCTAGAAGGTGAGCTTGTTGTTGTGTCTTAGATTAGATGTCCTTCAACCGTTTTCTGTAAATGTTTGACTCTTGCTGACTCTTTCCCTCTCAGACGTCACAGCTGTGTGTATTCTCGAGGCCTTCCAGAACCAGCAGAGCATGTTGCTCGCCGACAAGGTGCTCAAACAGCTGGGGAAAGAAAAGGCCAAAGAAAAATACAAGGTATTGGTTTAGTTTGAGTCATCTATGAAAGTTGTCTTTTTTTAAAATGTATTTATTTAAGGCATGTCCCAGTCACAACATTTTAAAATAATAGACATCTGAATTCTTTACTGGTGTGCTGCAGGGGTCTCCAGCTGAGGTCCTTGAAGGTGCTTGAATTTAAATTAAGTATTTTCAAGGTTTGGAAAGTGCTTGATATTTAGACTGCACAGTTTTGCATTAAAGTACAAGCTAATGCTTGATTTAAAAGCCTAAATTTGGAAAATGTTATTTACAATTGAAACCAGATTATTTCATACGCCTAATAAAAAAATTTATTTTTTCTCTCATGGTCTGAAGCAAAACTGAACTTTGTTTTACATAAGTTAGAATAACCTAAATTATTTCTGTTTAAATACCAGAATTTCTGTTTAAATACTAGAGAGTGAGATGTGTCTTTAAAAACATGAGGCTGAATCTGCAGAAACAAAAATAAACAGGTTGACTCAGGTATCTTATTGTATTTTATTTTTCTCTCTGCAGAATCGTGAGCCGATGATGCCTTCCCCTCAGTTCATTAAGTCCTATTTTAGCTCGTTCACTGATGACATCATCTCCCAGCCGCAGCAGAAGGGTGAGAAAAAAGACGAAGATAAAGATAAGGAGGGGGAAGCGGCCGAAATCTCTGAGAGGTCAGTTTGATTTATAAAGTCTCTGTTTTTTGGGTTTTTTTTTTGTTTTTTTTTTTTTTTACTAACCTCAGAGGATGTTGTTACAAAAGATCTTGCTGAAATGTTCCAAAGAAATAATTGATTGACAGGATTTAAAAAGCTTGAGTCGTCTTAATGAAAAAAGGAATTAAACTGAGTCCAACCAGGGCTTCTCTCATTGCTTTACTAAACCATTCTGGTAGGATTTCTTTGTTCCATAATCTGCTGCTTTTCTTGAGAACTTTGAGTACAAATTGACAAAACTACAGACCTCATAATGGAAATCAAAGAGAAATGCATCTGCACACTTTAAGCCTTTAATGTAAACCTGCACAAACAGTCCTGCTTTAAAACGTGGCTCACTGTTACGTTAAGTTATTAAAATACAAGGCTCTTGTTATTTTATGCAAGTATCTTTTTAACCAGGTTTGGCTTGAAAATAGTGTTTTAACATTCAGATAAAAATAGTTGCAAAGCTTACTGTAGGAATTGAAGTTTAGCGAACCTTGGTTAAAATAAAACAGAACTCAACTCAAAAAAAAAGCACCTATTTAATTCGGCTATCTTAAAGTTAATTTTCTTAGGTGTCAAGTAAGTAAAATATATTTGTTAAAGTAGAAGATATGGTTATTTTTCATGACTTTGTTTAAAATTTAAATGTAGAAGGCCCTTTAAGTTTTCTGGAACCTTCACCACAAAAAAAGCCATTTTCATCCCCATTCCAGATAAATAAATAAAAAAATAGAGCCATAAGTGTTACAAGGCCTTTTTAAAAAAAGACAACTTTGAGTTGTTGACAAATATTTATAAAAAATATTTTTGAAAGATACACTATTTTATTTATATCTTCAGGCTTCAAAATAAAGAAAAACATAAAATAGAGAATGGATTTATTTTCTTCCGTGGGATGCTGATATTTGTGAAAAATCATGTTGTTTTCAATCTGACCAAAAATAAATAAAATGTAAAAAAAAATACTTTTTTTCCTTTTAGTGTCATTTTGTTGTGAAAATTCACTGAAATTATTCACCGATAAAATTAAAAGCTGCATTTTTTTTTTATATCTACCTTTTAAAAGCACTAGTTGGTTCTATAAAGTTTTTAAGAGCCATTCTGAAAGATCCAAAGGGCTTCAGCATGCAAATGAGTTGATTGGATGGCAACATGTTAATTAAACTGCAGCTTTATTTAGATTTTGTTTGTCATCCATTGTTTTCCAGCTCTGGCTACTTGAAGGCCAAGCAGTACATGGACGAGGAGAACTATGACAAAATCATCAGCGAATGCACCAAGGAGATCGAGTCGGGGGGCCGCTACACAGCAGAGGCCCTGCTGCTGAGGGCCACCTTCTACCTGCTGATCGGAAACGCTACGGCCGCCCAGCCTGACTTGGACCAGGTCATCAACATGCAGGAGGCTAATGTGAAGGTACACACTGACAAATATCTTTCAGTCAGAAACGTTTAGCAGCAACAAATACTCAAATACTCAGTGTGCATGTTGATGAAGCTAAATGTTGGAACCTGCCGTTCATCGCTCCTGCAGCTACGAGCGAACGCTTTGATAAAGCGTGGAAGCATGTACATGCAGCAGCAGCAGCCTCTGCAGTCTACACAAGACTTCAACATGGCCGCCGATATCGACTCCCGCAACCCAGACGTGTATCACCACAGGGGTCAGGTAGGAAGGAGTCAAGTCGTCATCTCCCCACCCCTCCAATTTACTGTTTAGTTTATCATCTAAACAGTGGTCTGTTGAGAAAAACATAAGATCACATCACTGATTAGAGTTTGATAACATTACTCTTAATAGAACTCCAAATATATTAGTTTATTTTTATATTTTTATGACATGTTGCCAATTTAGAGTACAGTTCTCAAAAAGTGTTAATTACTTTCCCTTTGAATTAATAGTTTAAGACTTTGAGGTTGGATATACGCACCAATAAAAACAGTCTTTATACTCCCTGAACCTCCTTTCAATTTTTGTCAACTCCAAACCTGAAAAAAATTAATTTGGATTTTGGTAGACCAACGCAACGTGAGCACATTTGTGAGGTTTATAGAACCATTTGCCTTCAGAAGTCAGTTAGGAAATATATATATGTAAAAAAAAAAAAAAGTACTTAATTAATCCTTTTTTTCTTCCCTTTAATGGGTGATGGGTGAAAAAAAGGGCTATTTCAAGCAATAAGGATCCTCTGAGTTACTTTAGAACGAAGTGCATGATATAAGCTCTGCAAAACTAAATCAAATCAGCTTCACTTTCTACTGCTTTGCCTTCAATCTACAAAAGGTGTTTAATGTGCTGTTATCATGAAATGTGAGGATGTGATTTTGGAGTTTCTTCGACATTTTGCTAACAAGACCTGCGTCTTTCCTCTCAGCTGAAGATCCTGCTGGACCAGGTGGACGAAGCAGTGGGAGACTTTGACGAGTGCATCCGCCTCAGGCCCGATTCTGCTCTGGCTCAGGCACAAAAGTGCTTCGCCCTTGTGAGTAATCGCCGAAAATGAACACAGGAGCATCTTTAACCTGATGCCGTTTTTACTTATTTAAACATATATTTTGGATTTTCTTTTTTTTGTTGTTGTTTCTACTGTATTTTAATGCTATTTGTGAATTTTTGTGTTCCTCAGTACAGACAGGCTTATACTGGAAACAACCCATCGCAGGTACAGACAGCCATGGACGGCTTTGAGGATGTGATCCGAAGGTTTCCAAAATGTGCTGAGGGCTACGCTCTTTATGCTCAGGTAGGATTGTTTTATTCTTTTGGGAGCTAACTTAAGAAAAGTAGTCTAGCAATCATAATCTAGTGAAACTGATCAAATTAAATCCTATTTTGAAAAAATGCTATGATTAAAAAGGTTTTCCTGCAACTTGACCATGTCTAGACTTGTCACAATAATAAACTTTTCTGGATGACAAATTGTCCCAGTAATTATTGCGATAAACTATAATATTGATAATGGCATAATAATGCAGTTTGGTTATTGGTCTGTCAAAGACCAATAGATGTTTTTGAGCCATTTACACTGGAAGTAGAAGATATTTTAAATATCCAAAATAAAACGCAACAACCAAAAACAATAAAGAAAAAGGAAAAAAAAAACACAACCAAACCCATAAAATAGATGATAATGTCTGTGTAAAACAATTTTCCTTTCAAAACTATGAGTCATCAGAGTGGAAATTATCAAGTTCATTTTAATTTATCATGCGATTAATTGACTAATTGCAATGTCTCCCCTAGAAAACTTGCTAAGCCTGGTGGTTGGGCATTAGGTCAGTCAGTCATCCAGCAGCCCGTTGTGTTTTTGAGTTAAATGCTTAAAGTTGACAAGAAATTTGAAAATATCACTTGATAATTATGTGTTATTGAAAGATTGAAGATTAACACCTGAACACCAATTATAAAGTCTTTAAAAATGCAAATATTTTAAAAAGACTTAGATTAATATGCGATGCTTAGCCTGGTGGGGGCACAAGTAAAGCCTGGTGGCCCGCCAGGCTTATAATACACTGAGGGAAAGCCTAAATTGTGACAGACTTAATGACTTTATGTTCTTTTCAGGCTTTAACTGACCAGCAGCAGTTTGGAAAAGCTGATCAAATGTACGACAAGTGTATCGAACTGGAGCCAGACAATGCTACAACATATGTTCACAAAGGGTGGGCATGTTTTCATTATTTGGCATATTGGTAATAGATTTTTGAGATTCTTTTAGTAATTGTCAAATGTATGTACAGTTTGCTGCAGCTCCAGTGGAAACAAGACCTCGACTTGGGTCTGGAGCTCATTAGCAAGGCAATTGAGATCGACAACAAATGCGACTTTGCCTATGAAACTATGGGAACCATTGAAGTTCAAAGGTAAGTTTAAAACAAACAAAAAAAAAGTAGAATTGTACTTTAAACGTTTGTAATAACTGGAGCGTTTATCTTTTCAGGGGCAACCTGGACAAGGCGATAGAGATGTTCAACAAAGCCATTAACCTGGCCAAGTCAGAGATGGAGATGTCCCATTTGTACTCGTTATGCGACGCGGCGTACGCTCAGACTGAAGTGGCTCGGAAGTACGGCCTCAAACCCCCCACGCTGTAACGTCTCTGCCAATTCGTCGTCAAGTCTTTGCTGCAGAACCCAACTGTTTTACCGTTTCAAATAAAACCTGATTTGTGGGAAGAGAGAGAAAAAAAAAATACTGGCTGTTATAATGAAAAGAAGGAACCCTGAGTTTGTGCGTTTTTTCACATTTAAAAGGGTTTGTCGGGATAGGAAAAGAGGATTTCTATTTCTGTCTCCGCTAGGTGTCGGGAGCGTGATTTGACCAGCGCAGTCCGTTGCCGACACCTAACTCAGCCCAATGTAATAGTGAAATATTTTCATTAGTCAGTGTCGAGGTGGGAAAAAACGCACACAAATGTCCATGTACAGCTGTTCTAAGTAATACACAGAAATGTGCTGTTTTGTTGAACCAATTACTGACTTTATGGCTTTTGTAACATTTACGTCTGCAGAAAATACTGTGAGTTCTATGAGGTTCTAAAGGACTGTTCACTTGGCAATTCATCCTGATCCGAAGGGTTTTTCTCAGCTGCTTCCGTTTTGCAACATAGACCTTCAGTTCTGAATGCGAGATAATTATAGTCAGTTGTGAAATGTCTGTATTTGCAATGCTGGAATCGATCCCATTGGTACTGGGCCTAAAATAAGTCTATTTAGTCTTTTTTTAATAATAGGTTTGCCTGTTTATTCTTATTTTTAAATATATAATCTTTGTGCAGCATGCTCACTTTATGAATGTCAATGCAATGCTCAAGCTGTCTTGAACACTAGAAAAAAAAGCTTAAAATCTACGTGGTTTGGGCAAAACCCCTCTGATCAGACAAACTTAGCCATCTGTGTGTTTGTGTTTTTTTTTTTATTTTATTTTTAAATTGCCTCTAGTCTCCGGAGATATCATCTGGAATGTGTTTTTCTTTTTCTAGCTCATTACTGAACAGAGATTAATCTTTTTTATTATGGTTATTTGTCCATTTCTGATTAATTCAAACAGTTTTTCCAAGCTCGTAAGACATTGCTTTGCTACTTTTCCTCCCCTCTCATTTTCTAAAAGTATTGTCACAACGCTGACCTTATGGGTCCCATTTAGGCTGCCTACATGGAGTCCAGACGGCGTCTGGATCTAAGAGACTGCTTCCCAGCATGACATTTTTTTTATTATAGTAGTCAACTGTTGAATCTGACATGCAGAGCGTTCTCAGTTTTTACCGAGCCGACTGGGACCTCTTCTACTTCTGAACGCCTCTCAAAGCAGAACGGCAGAGTTTTAACACATTGATTATACTAAAGAATCAGAACCGCTGCTGTGTGTGTGGTGACTCCCCAGTGTCAAAAACAAGATTTAACCTTTTTTTTTTTTTTTGATGTAACCTAAGTTATGGCTGTTTGATAGAAAAACTTCAACAATGTTCATGGTGACCAAAGTGGAATGAGTCCTAATAAAGTCATAATTCTTGGAATGAAGTTTACCTCTAAAAGGTTTCTTTGTTTACACTGACCTCTGTTGTTTTTGTAGTTATTTGAAACTTTTCTAGCATAATTCAAAGTTTGTTTTGGGACAAATTAAGATTTTTTTTTGTTACTTCTAATCTAATACTGGAATTAAGATGCAAATTGAGTTTGGTGTCATGTTAGCATAGTGGGTTTTTTTTTTTGGGGGGGGGGGGGGGGGGGGTTTTTTTTTTTATTTGGGCCCATTTTC